ATATATTAAATTCATTCATTTTCTTCAATGCACTTTTCTGCCACGTTGGCAGAAACGCGCGCGTTTCCAACGCGTTTCAAGCGCGTTTTTGCTTAGTCATAAAAGCAGAAAAAAAAGCTCATATGATTTATAGCTGGGTGACCTATGTGAAGGTGGGCGGCTTTCTAAGGGGCATGGTCAATGCGCTGTCGTCTCGCATGTTCTACAGCGATTTTTTTTTATTCTTTTGGACTGGGCTTTTTGCCAAGCGCTCGAATCTCAAGAAACGCGTCGAGTCTATAAATATTTGCACGTTTTTTCATTTGTTCACAAAATGCTTAATAAATGTATTTAAATAAATTTAAAAATTGATTTGTGTATGTAAATAAATAGCATGAATAACTGTGAAATTAAAAAAAAAATAAATATAGAAATAGAAATTATAAAATGATCATTTTTATGAACTATACTTTGTGAATCCCATTGCTTATATAAAAATGAGTTGATAAACGTATAAAAACAAGTCAAAAGCAAATAACAGAAACTGGTTCAAACTGAATTGAATAAGCAGACAAGTGTTAAAATAGGAGACAAAAAATATTCATATATTTTTTCACGCAAACATTTAATAAACAAATATATGCCAATAAATTAATTATGCACATATTATTATTTTTTGACTGAGAAGAATTAGATATTTGAAATCTTCTATTATGAAATATTTATTTTTTAACATAGTTATTTTCTTTACAAGAAAATTTTAAAAGTTAAATTCTAAAATATTTATTTTTTTTTTTTCAAATTTTTTTTCGTATATATATTTATATTCAAAATTCTATTCTCAAATTTGCAGGTAACACAAACCAGCCACAAGCAAGCCAAATGCATTTACCACACTCACACACACATACATACGCATGCACACACACAGCAGAGACAGAGTCAGACAAATAGAAATTGGTAGTCGGTCGGGTCGAGGTTCGTTTTTGGGGTTCATGCGTGTCGCTTTCTGAGGTAGACACCAAACGTTTCTGCTGCCGCTGCTGCTTCTTCTTTTTCTTCTACTACTTCTGCTTGTTGTTTTTGGTTGTTTTTTTTTTTCGAGTCTTTCGTTTATTTTTGCCTGCACTCAACGAAACTCAGAAAAAAAATACCACCAAATATGGCGTCGCTTCACTTGTTCCATGTGCTCTTTATTTTTGTTTTTAATAAATTTTAATTGTAAATTCTTTCTTTCTGACAAAATAATTATACTACTACATATATTAAGATATATCATCATATGTGAAAATACACCTACATATATACGTATATTATTCTACGACATGTTTGCCTTGAATGCGCGCAGCCTCAATTGAAATGAAAAAAATCTATGCACAAAAAATCAATAGAAAATGCAAGGTGAAATTTTTAGCCAATGCAACTGACTAGAGTATATGTATATTATTTATATATATATTTTTTCATTCTTCTTTATACATACTTTGGCATTTGGCACCATCACATAGCAGGGGCTGTCATAGCCCTTCTGCCAAATTTCGTAGAGCCAATTTTCAGGCTGACGTAGAGACATGGTGCCCATCATTTTTGTATGTATGTTTTTAATAGTATTAGTTACACTTGAGTATTTAACAGAACAAAATTATTTTCTTTTCTTCAAGTTTTTCTTCTGCGAGTATTTAAGTTCTGATTATTTTGTATTGCACTTTTCACGCACTTATATAATATATAATTTGTTGCAGTGTTGTATCACAGTTGTAGTTTGTTTTTCTGCTTTGTGCGTTTTTTCTTTTACTTTAATATTTAATTTTTGGTATAGTTTTATCTTTTGCGTTGTTTGCACAGCAAAAGTTCAGCAATAACTGAATACGCAGCACAGCTTTCAGTGATTTGTGAGACCGGCGCAGAGCTTTTGCATTTGCATTCGGCACTGAAAGCTCTTTTTTTGTAATAAAATTTTCTCTGCTGCTGCTGCTTTTACAGTTCTTGTTTGGCTGTATCAATCAATGTAATTCACAATTGAAGAGTCTCTGTTTGGCTGCTCATTAAAAATATATTTAATAATATCTTATTTTCAAATAATTATTTTTCTTGTATATTTGTAGTATTCTTGCGTTTTACGTGCGGCGTGTTGCGAGTTTAACTGGCGACTGAACGTCTGCTTGCAATTAGCGACGCATTTTATATAAAATGGCAGCGACAGCGGTGAGAGAGCATGAGAGAGCGTAAGAGCTAGAGCGCGAGCGCGCTGAGAACGCATGTGTGTGCATGTGATGATAGCGTGAGTGTGAGATAGAGGGAGGGAGAAAACAAGAGAGCGCTCAGCGCTGTGCTGTGTATCTGCTGGCGATACTTTATTTGGGAGTGCGCGCCATGTTGCGACAGCTATACAGTATACACATGCACATGCATATACATATATGTTTGTGTGTATGTTTGTGGAGCTCATTGACGGGTATGTATCTCTATCTATCAGAGCCTACCAAAAGCTGAGTTGCTGCGGCTGCTTCTGCCACTGTTGTTGTTACTCTTACTCTCTGTGTTTGTTTTGACGCGCTTTGCCTCAATAATTTACACACTATATATTTTGTTTTATTTATTAATATTCATATGGATAAATAAAAGGCAGCAGACAGCGTCCGAAAAATTTGTTAACAAATTTAAGAAACCAGCCGGCATAAATACTCACACCCATACATACATTAACATCTTCACAAAGTATCCCAAACAGCAACAAATTTTGCCACGCGTTTTCGGCATGACAAATTTCTTGGCTGTTTTTTGTTTTTTTTTTTTTTTTTGTTTCTTTTGACACTTTTGCGCTACGACGCAAAAACTTTACGACATTTTTTTTTTATCATCCAAAGAGCAAAAAAGGAATTCGCAGTGAGCGAACGGGCGAGCGTTCTTATAAATACTTTTGGAGCAAACATACGATGTTTTTATTTTGCTTTTACTTTTGCCTTTGAGCAAAGCAAAACAAAAAACGTGGTCGGCGTTTTACCTTTTTGCGCATTGCGTTTTGTCCCTTACAGCAGAGTTGCTTACATAGCTTTGATTTGATTTGAAGTGCCATTCTTTACATACGCAAATGTGTATACATGTACATATGTATATAATACATATATGCATATGTAAGCGTGGCCATTCGTTTCCGGATGGGCAAAAGAAAACAACCGCAAATCAAGCCGTCAGTTTTGCTTTTCAAGGGCTTGCAAATTTGCAAAACAAATTGTCAACAACAACAGCAGCAGCAATCGAATGAAACATTAACAATAGCAACAACTGTGTTCAAAAATTCAACTCACAACACACAGCGCGAGAACATGAAACGTATCGATTTCATGCGCATGTCGCAGATGCAGCCGCGCCCCCGCCCCACTCACTCTCTCTCTCTCTACCTTTCTCTCCATCTATCTGCCACATATATACAAAACAAAGCTCAACAACAAACACCGACACAGATACAAATTCAGATGCGTACACAGAGACATACATATATGTGTATGTGCATCTGTATGCGTAGAAGAATCTTAAATCTGATTTTCCCATAGCTTCAAATGCCGGCAACAAATTGCAAATTGTAAAAAAACATCCGCGTTGCAGGCGGCAAAAAATTAAGAAAAGCATTTAAAAATGAAAACAAAAACAAAAGAGCAGAAAAACGCACATCAACAAAAATAAGTAAATAAATAAAATTAAAACAATTAAAGCCACATTTGTATAAACAAATTGCAATATTTATATAAAATTGAAGCGTGTATCTGAACATTTTGCTGTCGCGCTGAAAAGATCTGGGAGAGTCCCATGAAAGGGTGTGGAAGTTAAAAGTAAGTATTAAGGAACTAGCGATTCTCATTTACAATATTAGTATAAATACTTTTATTTTATTATTATTGTTGGATGAGGTGTAGAAGGCAGGCTAATTGATATTGCTCAGCAAGAAATTGACAGTATAGGTTTTCATTATTACTGACCAATCATTATCATTATCATTATTATTATAAAAAATGGAACTCCTCTCTACTGTCAAACCGATCTGGCAGAAAGTTTCGAGGAATCAAAGTCGAGTTCATAAGGTCATTGACGATGCTCGGAAGAGTCAGAGTCAGAGTCTGAGATTCGATATTACTACAAAAAGTAGATTCCGAATGCAAGAACACTGTAAATATTATTAGTATCATGTATAGTCTACAAAGTTCTAATATTTCTTCAATGAAATCTCACCAAAAGCAGAC